CGCTCATGACCTAACTTTTGGATAAGTTATACTCAAGATCCATTTCTTTATTGATGTAAAAGAAATCACGACAATAATCCTCCACTCATGAGCAGATTTTTCACAATTCTCTCCTCGTGAGTTAACTTTTGGACTTGAGTTAGATTCAATATCTATTTCTTTATCCATGTAAATAAAATTACGATAAATAATTTGAGACGTACAAATACATTTTTTTTTAAAGTCTCTTAATATTTATTATTTAATAGATGAGTAATTTCAATTCTTTATTAATGATTAAAAAAAACTTTAATAATTAATGTTGTTAAATAAATTTTCTTTAACCTTTATTCTTGTTCTTCTTTATACTCTATAGTGCAGAACAGAGGAGTTGCAGAACTCCATTCTTCGTCTTCTTTAACTGGAAAAACTTTTGATTGATAAAAGCAAAAAAAAACTATGAACAGAAAATTCGGTGGTGGGAAGCCGCCAACAGGAACTCCATCAATGGCTTGGTCGACTGTAGTTGTTGTTGTTTCTCTCCTTGCTGGTGCCTCCGTCGTCCACAACTTTTTCAAACCTGATCTGGTAGTGTCTCTTTCTCAATTTCGTTTTACTTTTAGAAAATCCCTAAAAATTGATTGATTATTGAAGTGATATGGACTCAAATGAAGTGATTCGGTATTGAGAATTTGTATGGCTTGTAACAATCGTTGAAGACTTATATAGCTGATCCAACTTGTTTGAATATAGATATGATAATATACTTATGAGGTTAGCAAGTTTGTTATGTGGAGTGTTACCTGTTTGATAAAATGCCTCTATGAAATTACAGCTATGTAATCACTAGTGATAGTTTAAAGACATATTGGTGCCATCTTTGAACTAGGCTTAGTTATAAAATTGAATTTATAGAAGTTTTCCTATAAAGATATCTGATTTACATGAAATTTAGATGTATTAATTTGCATGTTTTCTAGCAAGTTTGAAAAGTCTGTGGTCCTTTTTCCTATGTCTTTTACTTGTTTGATATAATGTCCCTTTGAGTTTCTGGCAATCTTATAATCTATGTTGATCGGACTATTCAAAAATGTCACCAGGGTGTATCGGATCCTTCAAAAGTAGTGTGTTATTAAAGGATCCGACACGGGTGCAGCAACATTTTTGGCGAGTCTGAGCAACTTAATTATAAATGATCCTAGTTGGGAAATGTTAAACTACTAATAAGTTTGGTTGCATCTCTAGATGCGCACAAGCTGACTTCCTTTGTAAAGGCAGCAAAGAACTTTTGGGTATATGATGTCCGGCATCCAGAACTTTTTCAAATCTTATCTGGCTACTCCCCCTTGACTTTTTCCCTTTACTTTTTGGCTTCAGTTTTAGAAACCCATAATTTGTCCTGCAAAAAGAAAAAAAATGATATAGGAATGATATGGGCCCAAATGAAGTGGATTCATTATTGAGAATTCGTATGATTTGTACCAACTGGTGAGGATTTATTTAGCTGAATTATTTTGGGATTGAGACTTCGTAAGTGAAGATTTTGATGCTTATGCTGTCCAAAAGTATGTTTAAGTTGGTGTTTGATGTATAACAACATTAGTATTAGGACATTTAGTTGTGTTATTTGTGATATGATTATCTAGCAAGGGTGGACGCTCTGGCCTTTCTTCTATTTCATTTACCTGTTTTTTAGAATGCCCTTTTGAAAATTTGGTTATCCAATAAATGGTGCTGGTTTAAGACAAATTGTGCCATATCTGGACTATATTTAGCTATAAAATTGAAAACTTTGTGGATATAGTATGATGTATGAGTACACATGTTTTCCTATGCTTGACTGCTTGTTTGTAATTAAAATGTAAATGTAGGATGCAAAATGAGATTGGCATTGTAGGCAGCATTATTTAAGTACCTATTGAAAGAAATTTAGGTGTATTACATGGCAATATTTTCTAGTAAGCGAGGAGAGTCTGCGGCCTTTGTCCTGTGTCTTTTACCTGTATGATATAATGCCCCTTTGAATTTGTGGCTGTCTAATGAATGATGCCAGTCGGGAAATGTTAACTACTAAGAAGCGTGTTGCATCTATAGATGTGCACAACCTGACCTCTTTCATAAGGCAACAAAAAGTTGAAAAATTCTTTGGGTATGTGATGTCTAAGAACAAAATAAATTATATGTGATACCACAGTTTTACTTTCACCCTCCTCCAAATGAATTGAAGGAATGCTGTTTGTTTAGGATAACCAGTTTTTTTATCGTCACACAGATGGACTGCAAATGAACGATAAGTTGTACTTTACAAATTGATTTCTACTAAGGCTTTTGAGATGATTATGGATATGTTAGTGACCTTTCGATTTGAGGCTTCTTGTTCTAGATTAAATCCACTTTAACTGTTTTCTTTTGCAAAAAAAGAAAGAAAAAAGAGGGGGGTGGGTGATCTGTGGTGGGATTTTATTCACTAAACAGCATCAACTAATTGTTAGTTCAATACAAAATTGCTAAAAATGACCTCTCCCTTTTAACTGAAGTTCATCATAGTATATAGTGCTTTGAGTTCCAAACTATTTAGTGCTTCAGTTCTTCCTTCAGAGCAGCTGTGAATCCTTTCTTCCCATACCTCCCACTAGATACACATTTTTATTCCTAAAGTTTTAATGGACCGCCACAAGAATTAGTTGCAGCAACGTTTGTGCCAGAAGATGTGGTAGACACATTCAATGGACCGCCACCTTTGACATTCTTAAGCCAAAATTTCACTTGCATGTGGAGAAAATAAATACTTTCTGTTGTTAATCCATTGAGAATAACAATAATGAAATAAGAGAAGGAATAAAATGCACCAGGCATGGTTTTGGACTAGTACATGATTATATAAAGCACTATGCATAGCATTATGATGAGATAAACAAGTCACCAATTAAGTACCTCTTTATACCAATATATTTATAATACTCTACCCTCTAAATACAAATTAACTTAAGTTGGAAAAAGTAAAAACGTGTGTCTTGTGGGTGGTATGAAAAAAAAAAGTATCCTTCCCACTGAGCTTATGAGGGTATTTTTCAATGTTCTAGGCATTACCCACTAAACTCCAAACAGGTTTAGAAATATGTTTCAGTGATGTGACGCATGAGGTAGGCATGGAAGTGACACTTGACACACAAGTTGTCCCCAAGAGAAATAGATTTAAGAATTTGGGGTCTCTGATCCATGGAAATGGTGAGATCGATGATGATGTCACATATTGTATTAGTGCAGCATGGATGAAGTAGAGGCTTGCATCTGGTGTTTTGTGTGACATGAATGTACCACCAAAACTAAAGGTATGTTTTACCGAGTGGTGGTTAGACCGGCTTTGTTGTATAGGGATGAGTGTTGATTAGTCAAGAACTCACAGGTCCAGAAGATGCAAGTGGTAGTAATGAGAATGTTAAGATAGATATGTGGGCATACTGGGAGTGATAGGATTAAGAATGTGGGTATCCGGGATAAAGTAGGAGTGGCCTCTGTGATTGACAAGATGAGGAGGAGAGATTGAGGTGGTTTGGTCATATGATGAGGCGATGCACGGATGCCCCAGTTTAGAGATGTGAGAGGCTGGATATAATGGAGTTGAGGAGAGGTAGTGGTTGGCTGAAGAAGTATTGGGGAGAGGTGATCAGACAAGATATAGTGCATCTTCACCTTACCGAGGACATGACCTTGGATAAAAAGGTATGGAGGTCAGAGATAAGGGTAAACGGTTAGTAGGTAGTTAGGGGTTGTCGTATTACTAGCCTTTTCATATAGTCTTTCGTTTTTTGTACCTGTTATCACTTGGTATTATTGTAGTTCTTAATTTTGATATCTCACACCGTTAGTTGTTTACTGTGTTTCAATTATTGCACTATTTTGTTGGTTCACCGTGTTAGTTGCTATATTTTCTACACTATTTTCTTCTGCTTTGTACTTGGATTTACTGCACTCTAGTTGAGGGTTTTTCCGAAACAACCTCTACATGTCACTAGGGTGGCATGAAGGAAGAATAGCTGGTATTGACACTACAGTCTGCACTATATAGATATCTAGCCCTACATGAACTTGTTGAATCTTGGTGATGAATTGCAAGAAAAATACTCTCTAATACAAGGTGTTTGATGATTTTTAGTGACATTATTCCAAATTGAAACATCGCTCATCCCTTGTTGCCCTTGTTGCGAATATTGAAAGCATATCGTTTTACGGAAGATTGGTTTGTAAGATGAATCGAGTGTTTTTTATATGAAAGATCTTGGTATTAGTTACACGTTTCTAGGAATTCTTTATCTTGTATTTATCTATATACCATCTATTTACAGGCTCATACTTCCTCTTGGTTCAGATTATAATATTTGCTCTATCGTTGAATTGCAGACTCTGCCTCCTATAGAAAGCATAGATGGAATCAAGCAGAAAGATGCAGAGAATCAATAATCTTTTATTTCCATTCATTTAAGTTTGATAAATTTTATGAAATTGAGTAGCTATTCAAATAGCGCCCCCCCCCC